CGGGAGGGTGAGAGAATTCACCAGAGCCAGAGCGAGGAGAGCAGGCAGAGGGACTGAAGTACACTGCTGAGGGAGCAGTGGCAGGAGAGGTATGTGGGACAGCAGATCGAACCGGCGCTGCAGAGGCTGCGGGCAGCTTCACAACCCAGCACTCAACCGCTGCGCCACAGGGGAGGCCCTTTAAAGATTATTTTTTTATGCATACAACAACTGGGGTACAGGTCAGAGGTGTGGGAGGTGAGAGGAGTCACCAGAGGGACAAAGTGGGGCACAGAACAGGCAGACTGACCAAATTACACTGCTGAGGGGAGTAGCGGATGAGACAAGAGAGGTCTGCTGCACAATGTGGGCAGCCTCCTGGCCTGCCAGGGATAGAACTCGTGCTGCAGAGGCTGCGGACAGCCTCACAGTGTTGTGCTTAGCCTTTGCCCCACCAGGGAGACCCCGTTCCCACAGCTTTCATTAGACTCATGTATGAACCAGATATAATTCTCTGAGATTTTAATATACTTTTAATATACTTTATCTTTTATGTGACCATATCCTCAAACACCCACGATATTACAGACTAGGATTTTCCCTACAGATCTGAGCTAAAATGAATCAAAGAGGACCCTAAATGAATGAACACAGCAGGTTTTATAGCCGACAAGAATGGTTTGGTTAAAAAAGGGAAAGACACAGGACACAGTATACAATGTTATATTTCAATTAATAAAAATGGGACTACATACACACTACATGGATGAATGTAGTCTTGTCAAAGAATTCAAGATTATTCAAATACTATGAAGGAAACCGAGCTGTGGGTGATACTAGGTACATACTTCAAACCCACTATGTAGACATACAATGTGGAATCCATTATAACAAAAGCTACTGTTTTTGAGTGTAATTTCTAAAAAAAAAAAATGTTACATTATATAGGTTCAACTATTTTAAAATTTTACTACAATTCAATACATGATAACATTTTTGGTTCATTTCTCTGGAAGTAAAAACAAGCTATGAGAGAGAACGTGTGTGAAATGACTGGTATTTCCATTGACATTCACACCAAAAGGAATGAAATAACTGTGACTGTATCATTAAAGTGAAAGAAGGAGGTGAACCCTGAAAATTAAAAAAAAAAAAACTCTATTAAAGGAAATAAAAGACACAGAGAAATACAAAGATGGCCCATCCTCCTAGGTGGGGAGAATTAACATCATAAATGGCCTTATTGTCTAAAGCAATTTACAAACTTATGCAATACCTACTAAATACCAAGGACGTTTTTCATAAGGAAATAGAACAATCCCCACAGAAGGTCCCAAATAGCAAAAAAATCTTGGGAAAAAAGAAGAAAATGTAAGTATCACATTTCCTGACTTCAATATATATATATATATAACGCCAACAGTAATCACAACATTATTTTACTGTAACAAAACCAGAACTCAGAGCAGGGAAGGCAACTAAAAACCCAGAGAGCAAATGATATAAATATGAAGAGTTCAATCTTGGACAAAGGAGCTAATATCATACCTTTCAGACAAGACAGCCTCTTTAATAAATAGTACTGGGATGGACCCCCTGGCGGCCTAGGGGTTAAGAGTCAGTGCTATCACGGCTATTCCAGGCCAGAGAGCTGACCCACATGTGGCACAGCCAACCTCACCTGCCCTCTCACTGATTCCCCGAGCATTGTATTTCAGTGGATCTGCCTGTTCTGCTCTGTACTGTGTTTCTGGCAAATCTTCTCAAACCCTGAACATCTGGTCTACACCCCAGTTCTTCTATGCATAAATAAATAAATACATATTTTAAAAAAATGGTGCAGGGAAAAATGAATAATGACTTGCAAAAATAAGAACCAAGACCCATTTGAAACTCCATACAGGGCCTCCCTGGTGGCACAACATATGAAGGTATCCATAGCCATTGCTGCATGAGTTCGATCCCCAGGTAGGGAGTTACCCATATGGTGCAGCAGACCTCTCCTGACTCACCCGCTGCTCCCGTCACCAGTGTATTTCAGTCAGTATGCCTGTTCTGTTCCTCACTCTGTCCCTGGTTGTGATACATATTGAATCCTCTCACCCCCCATATCTCCTGCCTGTACCCCAGTTCTTGTATGCATAAATAAATAAATCTTTAAAAGAAAAACTCCATACAGAAAACTAATTCCAAATGGATGAAAAGTTTGGACATAAGAGCCCAAAGCATGAAGCACTGAAAGAAAATAAAAGGGTACACTATGGGACAGCTGCTGCAAAATGCACGAGGGAACACAACCCCAATGCCAAGGGAAACAAAAGCAAGTTTCACAAGTGGGACAACACCAAATCTAAAAGCTTTTAGAACTCAAAAGAAACCAGCACAGAAACAGAAATGCATCCTACAGAATAGAACACACGCAACACATCTGATAAGGGGTTCATTCCAAAATTTGTAACGTTTCCACCCAGTGAGAAAAAAACAACCAGTGAGTCAATTGAAAAGGGCAAAGGAAATAAAAGGGCAGAGGAAATAAAATTTCCTCTTTGCTAAAGAGAAAATTCTGAGGTCCAACAGACATAGGAATGTTCACCTTAATTTATTGTAAGAGAAATGTCAATTAAAACCACACTGAGATGCCCCCTCAACACTTGAGAACAGTCCAAATAAAAAAGAGTGAAATGAACAACGCTGGAGTGGGTGGAGAGAAAAGGGAGCTCTCACCCACGGCTGGTGGCCATGAGAGTTGGACAGTCCCTGCAGATAATGGGGCAGAGATTTCTTAAAGAAATAAATATGGAAATTTCATATGTCACCATTACTTCTACAAATTATTTATCCAGGGCCTCCCTGGTGGCGCAGGGGTTAACATGCAACCTATGAAGCAATCCGCAGCTGCTGCAGCACGAGTTTGATTCCTGGCTGGCCAGGGAGCAACCCACATGGCGGAACAGACCTCCCCTGTCTTGCCTACTGCTCCCCTCAACAGAGTACTGTCTGTCTGTCTTTTCTGTTCCTCACTCCGTCTTTAGTGAATACTCTTGCCCTCCTGTGCATCTGGACTGTACCCCGGTTTTTGAATAAATAAATAAATTTAAAAAAATAAATAAAAAATTAAAAAAGAATGAATTAAATCTTTTGGAAAAAATCAATCGACTTTATTAAAACCTGCATTAGGTTCACATATAGTCTAAATATTTAAATATCACTGTATGCTCCATGTTGAAAATAAAAATGCAGGCATTTAAGAAGCATTCTTGTTCTTTTGAAACCAGGATACCTAAGTTGGTGGTCAACAGAGTCATTACTTAGCTACTGTGCATGCACAAATTCTATGCCCAGTACGGGACAGTCACCTGTTCTGTCATCATATGTCTGTGAAGATTTCTTTTGGCAATGATATCAAATAATATTCATCTATTACTATCATAATGAAACATCACAATTTTAATAAACTGTGCATTTCCTCAAGGAGTCCATCGTGATATGATTTGACATGTTTCTCTGTCTGACTTCAATGGCAACATTAAGGCCCAGAACTCTTGGTGATTTAGATCAATGTTTTGAGTCAACCAAAAGCAGCATGTCCATTCATATTTTCCTGATACATGGCACATTACTGTCTTAAATTTACCCTGCAAGTTAGATATAAACAAATCCATCGACTAGGACAGTCTCTCAGATGTTTGAGGCAGCAAAAAAAAAAAAAATCAAACACCTGACTTCACATACACAAGGGGACAAAGCCAGAGAATGAACTGATTTAGAGCTGAATTATATTCATCACCTCTTCATAATATCTCAAGCATGACTGACAAAAAGTACGTGGAATGTAATTATACTGGTCCCCAACACATCATCTTGGACATTTAAATGATACTAATAAATACTTAGTGCTTTAATGTTGGTTTACGCTCCATAAAAATATCTGATTTAAATATCAGTGAAGTTTTTGAGTTATTATTGTACTGCAATTTTTAAATGTATATTTAGAGTTGATTATTATATGACAACTTACTTTTCCATATCTTTACTTCTTCAAAGTATCATGCTAGCATGAAAATGGTGGTTGCAAAATATCTATTCGTACAAACCACTCATCAATTTACATTTGCAGGTTTCTCCCCAGTGTGCATTCTCTGATGTGCAGAGTGATTTGACTTCCGGTTAAACAGTTTGCCACATTCTTCACATTTTGAACATTTCACTCTTATATGAATTCTCCGATGTTGAGCAAGTTTTGCCGTCTGCTTAAAGGGTTTGCTGAATTCTTCACGTTTATAAGCTTTTTCTTTCACATTTGTATGAAATCAGTGATGATGAGTAAGATTTGACTGCTAGTTAAAGGCCTTCCCAAATTCTTTACATCTGTACGTTTTCTCAGGATTATGAACTCTCTGGTGTTCAGAAAGGTGACACAGGTAGAGAAAGGCTTTACCACAGTGTGGACATGTGTAAGCCTTTTCTCCAGTATGAATCCTTACATGTTTAGTGAGCTGTGGATGCCAACAAAAGGCTTTACCACACTCTTCACATTTGTGCCATTTCTCTCTCTGATGTTGAGTGAGTCTTGAGCACCATTTGTTAGCGTTGCCATATCCTTTACAGTTGCAGGGATTCTCCTGAAATGTGTGATGTTGGAGTAGTTTTGAGGACTCCTCAATATGATCCCATGTAGATTTTTTTATCTTCCCATTCACATCTCTGATGTTGAGTACTATTTGACTCAAAGTATACTCCTGTCCCATATTCACAATGTACTGAGTGATTATTGCATGATGGACTATGGGACTGCCTACATGTTCTAACTGTCTTCTCAGGGAATACGTATTATTAAAAATCTGATAGAGATCTCTGCTTACAGAAACACCCTTATCTATGCAAGGAACAGACATAAAATGTGGCTTGACCCAAGACATTTCACACACATGATCTCTTCTTGTGGGAAGAGTTGTATTCTGTGTCATTGTTCCAGCGTGGCTCTCTTCATTGCAACAAATGTTCTGACCTTCAATGGATCTTTGGCATGTCTGGTCTTCCACTAATTGTAAATTCTCAAAGGCACAGATTCCATCTCCTCCCAGTTCCATATCTGGAAGCAAATCTTCTGTGCCCTACTATGGCATGAGGACTTGGATGCCATGAGAAGAGATGACTGGAAGAAAGCAAGTGACTATTTACCACATTTACAGCACTCAAGACAAAATACATTAAATGCATAGTCTATATAATTAATATCAAGTAAAGGACATAGGCATGATGTTAGAATAGGTAACACTATGACTTTGCTCTTCCTATAAAGACAAAATGATTCTAGATAGCAACACAAAAGTTTATGAAAAGGTACTGTCCTTAGGGAAAGGTAAATACAAAGAAAATATACAAAATTGCATGATACAGTCCTGTAGTAAAAATATTGATTCTGCTTGAGCATTTGGAAAGGCCACATCAAAAATACCCATGGAATTATGTTCTGGAATACACAATGTAGTGAGATGTTGTGATGGCAACAATGTTGGTGTAGGGTAGGAATGTTAAAGTATTGATTTTCATGTGTGCAATTGAAATTACATTCTTTTCAGTCTAAAAGATTTCATAGCTTTTCAATATGGCACGTAATGCACATTATAACAATAAAGACACCAGGAGAACACATGGGAGGGAAATGAACACGGAACATGATGTCCTGTGCACACAGGCTAGATGACAATACTGTACACAATAAATAGTATTATGAATCAATATACCTCACTAAGCATAAAAAATATGATGACCGATTAGACAAAAATCACCAGACAAAAAAGGAGAAAGGAATAAAAACATGTCACACAAAGTCAAAGAAACACAGAGATGCAATCAAGAGGAAATGAGGTATGAAAAAGGCTGATCATAAAGGAAACATTTTTAAATAACAATACCTGGGCCTCCCTTTCTGTAATTAGTTTGTTCATAAATGAAAAAAAAAATCCACACTGAAATGACAATGTGTCTGAATGAATAAGAAAACAACACCAATACAATCTTATCCACATCATACCCACTAAAGATTTAAGTGCATCAAGAGGAATGGAAGATGGAACTATATGCTGGGAAAAGTGATAATCAAATATGGAGCTATGTTGAACACACTAATATCAGAAGAATATAAACTGAGTCAAAACCATCACAGAATGTAAAGAAGATCACAACAATAGAAAATGACATATTTTGGGTAGTCATTAAAAATATTCCACATGCACTAACGTGAGGTCGCTGAATGTGTGCAGACCACACAGGCAGGACTGAATGCAGAAGAGGAAGACAATACAATTCCAGGAGAGGTTCCAGCCCCAACTGCGATTAGAAGGAAAATAATAAAGTAAGTTCAAGAAGTTGAGTTGACCAATAGGGCCAAATTTAAATCTGAAAGCAAGATGCAGTTCACATACACGATAGAGTAGAGACAGCTAAGCTATAAAAAAGGATGAACTCAGGCTATTTGCAACAACAGGATGGAACATAGCAGGAGCATAGCTAATGTAGAAAATCAGGAGAAAGACATTTGCTGGATCGCTTCACTCCAATTTCAAATCTGGAGGAAAAAAGAAAGGAACCGACAAACCAGAACAAACTCTAGAAATATGACTGCAGAATTGTGGGTATTAGAGAGGGATGGAGGGTGGGTGTGGGTATAGAGGTGGGAGGGTGTTCAAAGATCTATGGAGAAGGCCCACAAGTGCACTGGTGGTGAGTGTGGTGGTGGCAGACCTCTGAGAAGATGAAACTCTATTCCCTAAATCAAATGTTACCTCAATTCAAGAAATTAAAGAATATATTGAAAATATGGAGATGAAACAAATTTCCCCAAAACTGTGGACTCAGAAAACGATAAGATGCAAATTTCAAGCACTGACACACTAACAATAGCACAGATCTTAAATTAACTCCACAACTCAAGAAACTAGAAAAGGAACAATCTAAACTCTAAATTTCCAAAAAGAAGGACATTTCAAAATAAAGAAGAATACATAAATGTAACATGATGGCAAAAATGTTTGGGCTTCTCTATGAACAGAAGTCTGGAATTTGAAAAAAACAATAAATTTAACAAAATGATAGTTTAATTCACTAGAAAGGAAAGGCAGAAGACCAAGAAAAACAGAAGTGAAACCCATAAAGATATTTCCTTAGTTTTTATGTCTCCTCGGCACTGGCTACAGTCATCTGTAGACGTTTTCAAAGGCATGTACTTCCCTTCATGGCAGGGAGAGACCTTTCTGTCAATTCTTATTTAAATGTTATATCACACACTGCTCAGAATGACAGCATATGCAGCAAATGCTGCCTCATCTTGTGTCCAACTTTCTCCTGCTCATCGAAGGGAAAAAAAATTCTGCATCCAGCCCGTGGTCATCACTGTGAAAGGCTTTCTGCACATCCTTCTGACATCAACACTCCTTGGCTGTTACTGGAGTCACTGCAATACTTGGTACCTGTTTCTACATAATTCATAGCAGCTGAAGTTTTTATCTAGTATGTTAGTTGTACTATATCATCCTTTCACTGATGCTTTTGCTTTCTTTCAGATGATTCCCACAAGAAGGTGGAATTGCACAGATCAAACTCCTCCCAAGAAATGAGCCCCCAACCTGAAACTCTTGGTTCCATGGCTTTAGAAACCACAACCTTAGGTTTCCCCTCCCATGTCAGAACATCCCGTCCCTCACTGAATGATTTCTGGGTTATCCTCAGCCTCACAAAGGCTGACTGATATCAGAGCAGCAGACGAGACAGGAGAGGTCTGCCGTGCCATGTGTATAGCTCCCTGGCCGGTCGGGCATGGAACTCATGCTGCAGAGGCCACAGATAGCTTCACAGTGCTGTGCTTAACCCCTTGCACCACCAGGGAGGCCCACATTTTCCTTTCTCACAGCGTATCACTTCAACAAAACAAAGAATACTTCCGTGATTACTGTTCTTATCCCCACTCATAGATAATTTATCACTGTCAAAAACTTCCCATGAACATACTGAGTGAAAAAAACAAATGTCTGGGGCCTCCCCAGTGGCACAGCGGTTGAGCGCTGGGTTGCAAAGCTTCCCGCAGCCTCTGCAGCGCTGGTTTGATCCCCGGCTGCTACCCAGCCACCTGAGGAGGGTCTCATATGGCGCGCAAACCTGTCCTGCTGCCCGCTGCTCCCCTCAGCGGTGTACTTCGGTCCTTCTGCCTGCTCTGCTCCCTGCTCTGGCTCTGGTGAATTCTCTCACCCTCCTGCACTTCTGACTGTACCCAGTGCTTGTATAAATAAAAAAATTAATTAATTAAAAAATGCCTGAATAAGTACCTTAAAGAAAACAGTTGGTGAGAATAAACTAATAGAGAGAATACAGAAAATGTGACTACTGCAGAATAATTTCCTGCAGTATCAGTGACTGCATACTGGTGAAATCCAACATTGTCAACCGTTAAAAAAAAAGAGCAGGAGTAAATCTAGGAGAGAGCTTCTGTGGAAACTGAATAAAGAATCACTTCGATAAATGCAGAAAAACTCCAAGGTTTGGACACTGGAAAAGTAGCGCAGTGTGGCCAATATCACTGGCCACTCTCCCAGCCTCCTGCTAGCCTCCTGCCAGGCAAGCACTGACTGACCTGAGAGGTTCTGGCTTGGGGCTTCCTCCACAGTCCACGGCTGTACTCCCTTCTCCAACCTGATGCTCTCCTCAGGATCGATAACACAATGCCCTGTGATGAGGAACAGTGTTGGTTCGGTCAAGTAAAACTTCAGTTTTGAAGACTAACGAAAGCAGTGTGAAGAGCTGTGCAACGAAGGTCACCTGGAACTTTTCAGAAATAGGGCAAACACCCACAATCTAGTCTGTTTGCCATGTTCAACCTCACCACCACCCAATTTCACAAGAAAGACCACACTTAATCAGTGTAGAAAACAGCACTTGAACTTGTGTTACACTGGAGCGTCCTCACAGAGGGACACCAGGTGACTGCAGGTCTCCAGCATCACATCCCGGTACAGGGTCCTCTGAGCATCATTCAGGTCTTCCCACTCCTGCCAGGGGAAGTTCACAGCCACATCCTCCAATGACACCATCTCCTGTAAGGGAACATTTCTCCTCATTTCAGGGCCGTCAGCCTGGGTCACACAGCAACAGTGTAAACACTGCTTCTTGTGCTCTTGTACAGGAGGCACCATCTTCCTACTCACACTGTTTTGTGAACAGAATTCTCAGGGGAAATAGTCTTACCTCTAGATTAACCCATTTGCTCCTAAAAGAACCACAATAGCTTACCATACAAATTTGGAAGTGTCTTTGAGTCTATAAATACAAGGATGAATAAAATCTTCTCCTTGAAGAGATTATCAACTGGTTGGCAGGTAGAATAACACATACATGGAATAACGTGCTATGTAGCGGTGTGAAAAGCCTGCTGAATGCAGACACGGTACAAGGGAAGAAAAACCAACACTTTGTAGTGTTGGGTTACACGTCACTGAAGACCCAAACACTTAGCTCTTCCTTGTAAATCACACTGTTATGAGGATGAGACAACAGCAGATGTCATAGAGTGAAAAAAAAAAAAAAAACACTCGCCATGATAACTGACCTGCAGAGAGCACGCTGCCAGGCAGAGTCCCCAGCAGGAAGGCAGGAGAGACAGTGAAAGTATTCTGGAACTGAAGTCAGTCAGCTTTTATGAACTGTGGGACATGTGAGCTGAATTCACCAGAATAGAAGGATATGTGGGGTCTCCCTGGTGGCGCAAGGAGTGAAGCACCACAGATCTGCCTTTTCTGCTCCCCACTCTGTCTCTGATGAGTCCGCTCACCCCCGTACCTCTGGCCTGTACCCACCTCTTATATTCATACATAAGTAAAAATGAATCTTTTAAATAAATCAATCTTGAAGGGGAGTTAGGTATTTGGGGGAAATATACTCACTGGGCAGCAGGCTGAGCCACACAGCAGGACTGGAGCGTACAGGCCCAGCACAGGAAGGTGAGGGGCCAACGGCCTCCCCTCGTCACCAGGTGAGTATCATGGAGGACAAAAAAGACAGGGGGAATTGATAGGTAAATTTCCATCTGGTAATTACCAAGAGGCTGAGCTGACCCAGCACGTGCATTAATCGGATGCAGGGGTGTGAGCCTGTGTGGACCCTGGGGAGGACATTTGTGGCTCTACAGGCGCCTCTGTGACAGGAGGATTACATTTACTGGGCGTTCCTGGGAGTCAGATGGAGGGGCTCCGACAGGCGGGTGGAGGTTGCCCTTTTGTGAGACTCATTTCCACGAATAAGAGAACATCCCCGTGAGGAGGTGTCCAGGTTCTCACGTTGGAAGGATTTGTCCAAATCTCTCCATCCCTCATCAGAGGGGGAGGCGGCCCCTTAGGACTGCACCACCCGTACCCTTGTAGCTGGGCTTCCCACTGCCCCCCAGGACTGACCCTCATCCTCTGTCCTTTCTCTGGGGTTGAAGATGTCATTGCACAGGGGGCAGAGGCCATGTTGGTGGGTCACTCGGTGTTCCTGGGTCTTCCCCAGGTGTGCGAGGAGGTGTCCGTGTTTCCTCAAGTGTATTTTCTCCCACTGATGCCCTTTATTCCGGGAAGGTCTCCATGGAGAACTTGCAGGGTAGATGAGATGAAGTTTCCTCCTCCCAGGATCCCGGCACAGACCTGGAGGAGTATACAGAAGGGGAGACAGGAGGTGCCTCATGGCAAACCCGAAGGGAAGGGTTGACCCAGGTGGGGAGTCCTCAGCGCGTGCTGGGGAATCCAGGGCGAAGCCCCCAATGAGCAGAGAGAAAAGGGACCTTAAAGGCATTACCCCAGGAGTGAGAGGAGGGAAAGCCGAGGGAAACGAGGAAAGGGAAGTCGCGGGACAGCAGCAGGTGGCAGTGTCAGGGGCAGACCCAGAGGCACCCTGAGACCCCAGACCCTGTGCACCCTCCACCGGCGCTGCCATCTGCTGCGTGCGGAGCAAACACCCCCTCACGTGAAAGCCCTGCCGTGGAAAACAGGGTTGGGGTGCAAGGGAGAGGAGAAAGGACAGGGTTAAACAGTTTCCAAGGAACCAAAGCCTCCTGGGCCCGTGGGGTCAGTCCCATGACCCCCACAGTGATGACCCCAGTTTTGGGCACCGCCTGCCACATCCTCTCTGCAAGTCCCCCCTCCAGGGGCTGTGGGGGGAACAGACACACCTGACCTGCCCTCAGGCTCCTGAGTTTTCGGGGACTTGCTGTCGGGGTCTCCGCCCTCTCGCATGTCTGTCCTGGAACGGACCTGCCCCAACAAGGGGCCTAAGCCACGGGGGTCTCTGTCCCCCCCTCCTCTTTCAGTCCTGCCCATGCTGCAGAGTGATTCCTAGACCCACTGCGGGGACATCCCTGGGGCAAACACCTGCCCAAGAGGGTGGCTTCTGCACGGGAGTCTCCAGCTCGCCAGGGAGGTCCACGGGAATGTGGAAGGGGAGACCCCAGCAGGCGGCACCTCCATGCACCCCTCCACCAGCAAGGGAGCAGAATAGCCCCACCCACATGCTGCTGTGGCCCAAGATTCAGTGCAGGACAGGCCCTTGAGAAAAAGCTGGGTCAAGAACACTGGCCCCCCCCCCTGAAAGCAGGAGCTGAATCTCCCCTGCCCGGGGCTGCCCAAGGGAGAGGGGAGCTCACAGGGTCTGCAGGTCCATCTCCCCTGCCCGGGGCTGGCGCCCCCGACCTTCCCCAGTTGCTGTCCCCCCAGAGCCTGCCCTTCCCCAAGGGCGGCACCCGCTGTGGTCCGAGGACCCGCCTGGAGTCTGCTCCTCTCTCCCTGGAGCAGAGATGTGTGTGGGGAGGGGACACCTGACGCCCCCCACTATTTGAAATTCCTTCCTGGTTCGTGTGCATCATAGGTTTGGGTGGAGGCTCCTCTGCACTTACCCAGCAATTTCTCTCCCACAAGATTTTCTTCTAACGCCTCGGGGAGCATCACGTAGAGCCCCCGCACCATCTTCTGGCCAAGACAGAGAGAAGCTGTTTGAACAATGAGAGCGAAGGATTGACATTTTCCCGGTAAACAGAAGTCACCGAATAGATCTGAAGACCCATTGCTCCTCCCCACTGAACGAAGGTTTCCCCCGGTTGCCTGGCTGCTGCATGCAAGGTGGGTGAAATGCAGCATGCCCTCAGCGAAGCGTCACCGGGTGGGTGGGGCTCAAAGGGCAGACTGAATTTTCAGGGTGTCCCTTCCTGCCCCCAGGGCTCTGATGGAAACTGTTTTTGAGCCACAGATCTTGGAAACAGCGAGAAGGATGGGACCAAGGCCAAAGTCGGAAAATGTCTTTAAAAATCTTTTTCTGGGGCCTCCCTCATGGCGCAGACAGTTGAGGGCCGCACCATGAAGTAATCCGCAGCCTCTGCAGCACGGGTTCAATCCCTGCAAGTCAGGGAGAAACCCACATAGTACAGCAGACCTCTCCTGTCTCCCCGCTGCTTCCCTCAGCAGTGTATTTCAGTCAATCTGCTGTTCTGTTCCCCACTCTCTCTGATGGATCCTCTCACCCCCCACATCTCTGGCCTGTACCTCAGCTCTTGTATGCATAAGTAAATAAATATTAAAAAAGTCATTTTATGGTGCCTCCCTGGTGGGGCAAGGGGTTGGGACGCAGGCTATGGGGCTGTCCACGGCCACTGCAGTGCAGGTTGGATCCCCGGCCAGGGAGATACCCAGTTGTATAGCAGACCTCTCCTGTCTCCCCGATGCTCCCCTCAGCCGTGTATTTCAGTCAGTCTGCCTGTTCTGCTCCCCACTCTGTCACCGGTGAATCCTCTCACCCCTCCAAGCATCTGGCCTGTACCCCAGTTCTTGTATAAAAATAAATAAATCTTTAAAGAATAAACAAATGGATAAATAAATAAATAAAAATGTGGACTGCGGTCCTCACTGTAACTTAACTTTAAGGCTCACCCAACTTTCCTGAGAGTCTGACTAGCCTCCCAGTGATCATGCTCACAACACTGTCCCTAACTAAACTAAAACACTAGTAGTTTTCACTGGCCTTGCGACTGTGCACACACAGCAAGCCAACCCTCCTGCAGAGTTCCTGGCAATGTGCCTTACTCCAGCACTTCAGGGCTTCCCGGGTGGGTGTTGCCCTAACTAGGGACACATGGGATTTAGAACAGCTCCTCTGTGAGAAACAAATATCCCACCGACATTCTTTTTAGTCTAACAGCACTCTAAAAATGGGTTGCTTCCCTGGTGAAATGTACTCTCATGTCACAACCCCAAAACTTGCTAGCTATTTTACTACTGCCCTTCTTGTTACTAAGCCTACCACTCAACGGCTGGTCCCAATGACTTTGCTACAGGGCAGGGAGAGGGGCAGCCCAGACCCCGCAAACCTGCCTGCTCTAAACAGGTTCTGCCACCCTGCTTTCTGCCCTCCTCAGTCTCCTCTGCAGCTTCTTCTCTCCCTGCTAAGCTCCACCCTTCCTTGGGTGGGGCTGGGAACCTGGAACCTCCCCCTTTCCTGGGGACCCCCGTTACAACTTCACTTGTGACCAAGGGCCCTTAGCTGCTGCTGTACTTCTCATTCTCCTCTTTAAATCTTAACATACACAATCTCCTACTCAAATTTGTTTCTTCTAACCTAGGGGGGGAGCCTCAAGTTTAAACTCCTCCTCCCAACAAACAGCTCACCCGTACAAGAGGAACAGCCTGTCCAGATGCCCCACCCGTGCACTCCAGATGCACCCCTCACCTCCTTCCAGAACCACCAACAGACAGCTCAGGGACTCGTGTCAGGGAGACCATCTCCCGGGCCCTTGGAGGTAGGGCCAGCTCTACATCTCACTCCTGCAGGAAGCAGCTACGGAAAATGGACCTCCTCCCTTCAACTCCCCAAAAGATTTTGGGCTGGATATGGTCATGGGGGGATGATGGAGGACAAGAATGGAAAGACTGGAAAGGATGTGCCCGAAGGCCAAAACTTGACTCACACAAGGAGGTGGGGATCGAGGAAATGCACATGACCATTAACCCAGCTGTGGAGGACGGACCCTCAGGTGCCAGCGCCTTGTCAGGAGGCAGGAGAGGGAGCAGGAGCCGATGCTCTAGGGAGTGGGGCACAGGCCTGAGGGGAAGGATGTGGAGATGGGACCCACCCAGGAATCCCTGGTCCCTTTCTAGTGCTGCCTGTTGCCCAACATCCACAACAAGCAGCCGCTCCACGGAGGAGTGAGCCTCCCAAGGAGAAAGGGACTGTGGCAGGGCAGGCTCTGCACAGGCCTGGGGCAGCCGTCCCCCTGCCTGCCCGTGACCACACAGGAGCCTCTTCTCACCAGCTCTCGCCTCTGCGGGGCCGCAGCCTCCTGGCAGGTGGCCTGTACCTGCCAGGACGTCTCCACTGATCTCCCTCAGCAGAGGCCGCTCTCCTCAAGGCTGCCCACCTGCAACCATGCAGGCCTCTCTCAGCAAACCTGTCCCCTTCCCTTTCCTGAGAAACCAGCCCTTTAAACACAACTAACATCTCCGTCTCATGGAGAAGCGACCTGGGAAACTCCTGGGTGCTGCTGAAACAGGGTCTGGGGAAACATTTCCCAGAGTGAACCCCAGGACCTCGCACTCCAAAAACCCCATCACCCCCACTCTATTCCCCCGAGGCCCACGGAAAAAACCCGCAGTTCTGGAAGGACACTAGGAAAGATCTCTGGCGCCACCTAGTGCCCAGAACAAAATCACCACCTTCCTGATGGTGGGAAGCCAGGGACCCCAAAACCACCCTCAGGCGCTGAGAGGGGCTGGGCGGTGCCTACGGGGTATGAAGGGAAACCAGGCGTGGAGCAAGACCCCATCCTGGGGCTGAGAGCCAGACGCAGGACCCGGTTTGGGGACGTGTCCTAGCAGCGGCACTGCACAGGGTGACAGCCAGCGTTTTGGACCTGACAGCCCTGGAAATGAAACCTAGAGCGCAGCATTCGCGGGTGGGATCCATACAGCTGTGGGCACAGCGCCAGGTGAACGCGCTGCAGACACAGCACCCGG